ACAGTAGTCAACAAGGTCATTTAGTTACACAGAATCAAAAGTGAAGAAAACATAGTAACAGGTAAAGAGAGTCAGAAACAAACAAGTGAAGAAAACCTTTTTAAGAAATTAGGGTTTTAACAACAGTAGTCGAGTTTAAGAGATGATAAGAACCCAGAATTAGATAAGTGACACAGAGAAAAGAGAATCGGAAACAAAGAACTTAATTGAACAAATACACATTCAAACAAACAAGGACAAGTTCAGAACTCGGATAAGACCAAAAGAACTAGGGTTTTCAATATGCTGAATCGAATAGAAGGAAAGCATAAACAAGTTCTTTGAACATAGTAAAATCATGAAACAACACCAAAAATCAGAGAAGAGATCTTTAAAAAGAGGTTAAGAGAAACCTTAATCGTTGAAAAATGAAGAGTCATTTTGAAAGAAAGTCGAAGAACCTTCAAGAAAACACTTAAGAAATTTGTGGTAAGCACAGATCTAAGATAGATCTAAAAGAAAATAAAGACCTTAAAGCTAGGGTTTCAGAGAACCCAGAAAGGTGAGGGAGACCTTGAAAAGTTACCGATCTAGCCGGAAAGGTCAAGGATCTGCCTTGAACGGCCGGAGAAACACCAGAGACAGAGGTTGAGCAAGGACTGGACCAAATCTCTTTGCGATTCGGCCATGAAATCACGAAAACCAACACCCAGGAGTCATAGTAGGCTGATACACATCTCAAATGGCCATGAGAGGCCATGGATTAGGCAGGGATTGAGGTGGATTAGGGTGGAATTAGATGGTGGTGGCTAGGGTTCATGTGAAGTTGCAGAGAAAATTGAGAGGAAATGGATTTAGAGGCGGAGGGTGGTGGGAAATGAGTTAGGTTTAGGGGTCGTTCAGGGTTAAAAATGGTAAGTGGTAATGGTGGTCGTTGATCTGAATGATCAACGGCCTAGATTTAAAAGGGTAAGTGGGGAATCTGGGTTGGGTTGGTTTAATCAGGTTAGGGGTCGGGTTAAATTGAAATTGGGCTGGTAAATTGGGTCAGATTTGGGGTTCAATTTAGGCTAAAATTTAAACACAAATGGGTTGTTGCTTAAATAGCCAATTTCCCCTTTTGAATTATAAAAAATAGTAAATAAATTTCTGAAAATAAATTGAAAGCACTAAAATGATTTATAATATATAATTAACAATTTAAAATATAGTACTTAATTTTATGAATATAAAACATAATTAAACCTTAAAAGGCTAATATTGCAATTATATGCAATTAGCTTTAAAAAATACTAAATAAAATTATAAAATTATTTTAGCCATATTTTGGCATAAATATGAAAATACAATAGATGAATTATCAAAAATAATAATTTAAAAATAATTATTGGGATTTTATGGATAAAAAAAGGGGAAATAAATCAATTAAAACCTTTAAAATTATGGAAAAATAATAAAACATTTGGACATGCTTATATATGCGTATATATGCTATTTTGAAGGTATTTTGCATATTGAAAATATATGGGAAAAATTGGGTATCAACATGCGGAAGCTGGGAATCTAAGTGAAGTGCACAGATGCGGCGTTTGGACCGCAGGTGCGGTCCCACAGATGCGGATGTGCTGAGCAAAATATTTAAAAAGGCCCCTTCACGAGTTTTGGTCATTCTTCACCATTTTTCATCCGGATTTGGAGCTTTTGGGAGCAATTTGAAGAGGGATTCAAGGGGGTTTTCAATGAGGTGAGTAATTTGAGCCCTAATACTCATGATTATGATAGTTTTCTGTGGTTTAATTATGTAATTAGTGGTGATTAAGGGTGAAATGAGGGGTTAGGGCTTTGGATTTTATAGAGTTTTGATTGAGGGTTTGAGGGGTTAAATGGAGTCAAATTTTGATAAATCTTGTATGTATGGACTCGTGAAAGGAAGGAGTTTCTAGTTTTGCAATTTTTGTCGGCTTTCGAGACGTGGGGTCTGGGTTTGGGTAAATTTCGGGATTTTAGTTCGAAATGATAGTTTTTTGTTTGGAATTGATCCCTTGGCCTATATTGATTGTGTTGCATTACTTTTGGTTAGATTCGAGACGTTTGGAGGCCGATTCCAGAGGCAAAGGCGTAGCGGAGTAGGATTTGGCTTGGTTTGAGATAAGTAACGCTTCCAAACTTGGATCTAAGGGTTCGAAACCCCGAACTATGTGTTATATGATTAAATATTGAGGTGACACAAATGCCAAGTGAAGGGCGAGTGGGCGTGCATCATGAGGATTGTGGCCTGGTTCATTCCATGACACCGCGTAGTGACTCTTTCTTGTTGATATTTGTATTGTGATTATATGATTAAGGAAATGAACTGTAAAACATGCTAATTATCATATTAGGGCTTCACGCCAATACTGTTGAGACCCGAGTGGTCATTTCTTGCTGTCATCTCACTAGTTTCATTGATATTTTGTACTCATTCTTGTTCATGCATATCATATCATGTCTCAGTCTCGGTTGTTGTTATTTGGCATATCATATTATTGTTTCGGGCTAGTTTCATGGCATTGTGATCCCATGTGTGTGAGACTGGAGAGTGATGACTGAGTGAGGACGAGAGCCTGATTATGAGTGACAGTTATGGGATCGGGTTGCACGCCGCAACAGATTACTGATTATGCCTTCATTTGCTAGTTATAGTGCTTGGGCTGAAAGGAGCCCCTCCGGAGTCTACACACCCCCCAGTGAGCGCGGATGATATTATTGAGGGATGGATTTGTCTGAAGTATTGATATATATGGAGATGGATTTCTCCATTGGGATGGATTTCCCTTTTTCCTTGGTACCGGGTGACTTATAGTCAGTGATGAGCATGTTCCGAAATAGATTTCCCTAGGCCGAATGGTCATACGCGGTATCAGGTGGTTGAGTGTATGTGTGTGTGTGTGTGTGTGTGTGTGTATATATATATATATATATATATGGAGATGAATTTCTCCTCAGGGTTGGATTACCCTTGTTCCTCGATACTGGATGACTTGCAGTCAGCGTTGTATATGTTCCAGGATGGATTTCCCTAGGCCTGATGGTCATATGTAGTACCAAGTGGTTGAGCACTCGAGAGTGGGAGCACATGGTGCATTTCATACATTATGTACATCGGCATGTAGAGTTAGGTGAGCTTTATATTTTACATTGTTCAAATCTGTATTTATTTCACTGTTAAGCTGCATTCCTAAAAGATTAGCATGCCTACTTTACTGCACAGCTTATTTCTATTTTCTATTGAGGTTACGTTCGTCACTACCTATCAGTCCAAAGGTTGGACTTGTTACTTACTGAGTTGGTATACTCACATTATCCCCTACATCCTGTATGCAGATCCATGTGTTTTCGGGCCCAGTGGCAGTCATTGATTGAGATCGCAGGCTTTGGAGATTGTTGAGGTATCTGCATGGCATTCGTAGGCCTTGATCCTCCTTCTCTATTCTAGTTGTGTTTCAGTTGTATTCAGTGAACATTGTACTAATCTATGCTATTTCTCTAGACGCTCATGTACTCCGTGATACCCTGGTTTTGGGATGGTTGTATCGTAATATGAATCTTTCTTTTATGTCTTAAGCAATTTATTTAAAATGATGAAAGTTTTTCCGCAAATGATTTGATTTTAGTATTGTGGTTTTGGGTTACGTTGAGTTGGAGCTGGCCTAGTTCCACGATAGGCGTCATCACAACGGGTTGAGTTTGGATCGTGACTCCTTTTGCATTTGTCAGTAACTTTTCCTAAAATGATCGGTTGATGAGTTGGATACTATGACATAACTTGCTCACTCATTTTAGACATGTACTATTTATCACATCGATCATGAAGAGTTTATTTTGTCTAAGTTCCAAATTACTCACTAATTACCTGAAGGTTTCAATCGAAATGCTCAAATATTTTCATGTTTTAATATGAGTAAGCGAATAAATATTTTCATATTATTAGTTCTATGGATTCTTTCTTGTTAGTCTTGCGTAGGAAATGACCTTACATCATAAGCCTTAGATAGGTGAAAGAAACTATTCTCTTTCTCATATTAAAGTATGAAAATATTTGAGCATTTCGATTTAAAATCTTAAAGTAATTGGTGAGTAATTTGAAAACTTTTAAAAATTAAACTCCTCAGGATTGATGCTTTAGATACTCCGGGGAGAAATGTTATATATTTCTACTACTGCCTTCATAAAACCTAATCCTAATACTCATGACAAGTGAAAGAATTTTGTAATTAAAAAAATCTAAACTTTAACTTGGAATAAATTATAACTCTTATAAACGCCCACTTACACTTAATCTGACTCATTATATATCTCAGCAATTACGTAAACAACATATTAGCAAAATAAAAAGTTATACTGATTATTTAATATTTTATTTTTTGATACTATTTTTTAACTTGTTACTCAGATAAAATTGTGGTCAAGTGCAATCCAATAACATAATTCTAATTAAGAAAAATATGTATTATGTAATTATAATCATTAAGGACTAGTGTTGTCGAGACAAAGAAACAATGAATGAAGACCGAATGAGTTTGGTTCAAATCCTTTTAAAAAGAAAGAACATAAATTTATACACTCCCAAGTTATTTGATTTCATTCTCCTCGCTCAAACAATAGAATAGCCTAGTTAAACAACATCTTAGCAAAATAAAAGGTTATATAGATCATTTAGTATTTTCTTTTTAATATTATTTTTCAACTTGTTCTCAAATAAAATGGTGGCCAACTGCAATCCAATAACATAACTCAAACTAAGAAAATATTTATTGTCCAATTATGATCATCAAAAACTGGCTCTGGCGAGACAAAGAAACAAAGAATGGAGGCAAAATGGGTTTGGTTCAAATCCTTCAAAAAAAGAAAGAACATAGGTTTCTAGACTCCCAAATTATTTTAATTCATTTTCCTATCACAATATCTTATATAAAGCACTTGCTGTTGAGACTAAAATCACCAGGTTCTTTGTTTCTCAAATCTTGACTGTTTAATTAGCCATGGCAAAAAGGAGAAAGGGTCGCCAAAAGGTTGACATGGTAAAAATGCAAAATAAGAGTAACTTGCAAGTGACTTTTTCGAAGCGTCGTGCGATCGTCTCTTCAAGAAGGCTAGTGAACTTTGTACACTATGTGGTGCTGATATAGCCCTTGTGGTATTTTCCCCGGGCAAGAAAGTTTACTCATTTGGCCACCCTTGTGTGGATTCAGTGGTGGATAGGTTTCTCACAAAGAACTCTCCACCAAATAATGGCCATAACCAGCTCATTGTGGCTCATCGAAATGCTAGTATTCGTGATCTCAATATGGAGCTCACGAACATTGAGGGGATTCTCCAAATGGAAAAAAATCGCAGAAAAGCCCTACAAGCAAGGAAGAGAGATAACGGTCATTGGTGGGAAGCTCCAATTGAAGGACTTAACCTTTTTCAACTGCAACAACTGAAGGAGGCAATGGAATGCATAAAGAAGAAAGTTGAAAGAGAGGCACAAAACCAACAAATGGTGACTAGTAATGCATTCCCATTTCTCACATTTGGAAGTGCCTTGTCTCCTACGGGTGCTAGAGCAAGATCTTCATATGATTCTTATGGCTCTTTTCCATTTCAAAATAGGGTTTCAGGACTCAACTTTGGTGCGCCTTTTGCTAACAGATCCAGTGGATCTACTTCTTCAGTAGTTCCCAAGTAGTTCGACTGTCATTCCAGAAAATCCTGGGACTTCAAGATTTATCATGCGTAATTGAATTATTGGAAATAACAAGCTTAAATATTAAAAACTTGATTTATAAGTGTCTAAGTTCATTTTCCATTTGAGTCCTATGTGTGTCTTTTGTGTCAGCATATAATGGTCATAAGTTATGGTTCATGTTACTATAGGAATTCAAAGAATTGAAACAATAGCTATACCAGCGTGTTGTTGTAAGAGTGGAGTTATTTTTAATATTATTGGTGTGTTTTATGTTTGTCCCGTTATTCCTTCCTTTTGTGCCTTATAAGTTTTTATATTTTTGAATAGTGCCCTAGTTTGAATTCCAACAAGAATCAACCATACATAGACATGGTGCTTTCAAGTATCTAAGTTTATTTTATTATATATATATATATATATATATATATATACAAAGAAAATTATATGTAGATTTTATCCTCATTGCTAGTGATAGCTTGGTATGTGTAAATATTAACTATTAAGTTTGTAGTATCTATAATTTCTTCTAAAGAAATAACGAAAGGACCTCTTAAGTAAAGATTTTGAAGTTTGTGAGAACTGATAATTAATTATAGATTTATGTATTTCATAAGTCAGGACATCAGAAACAATCTCATAGAAGAAAAAATCATATGGTGTGACTGCATATATTATTTAAAGGGTCATCTTCTATTTTAGAACCTGATTTTGTATTTCGAGACCTTAAAATCTCATTTTATTCCTTATTGATTTATGTGCATAGTCCGGGCGTGTATCCGAAAAGCCTTTATGTGGAAAATTGATGAAATAATAATTTTTGGCCTAAAAAGCTGATTTTTGTTGACTTCGGTCAACGTTCTGATAAACGGACCCGGACCCGTGTTCCGACAGTCTTGGTGAGTCCGTAGTAAAATATGGGACCTGGGCGTATGCCTGAATCGAATTCCGAGGTCCATAGCCCGAGAAATAAATTTTTGATGAAAATTGTAAGACTGAAATTATAAGGATTTAAATAAATTGATTAATGTTTGATCTCGTTGCTATCAGTTCACTATTTTGGTTCCGGAGCCCGGTACAGATTTAATATGATATTTAAGTTATGTCTGTGAAATTTTGTGAAAAACGGAGTTTATTTGACGTGATTAGGACCTTGGGTTGAGAAAGTTAGAAGTTTTAAAACTTTCTTGAAAATTTCATGCAAATTGGTGCTAAATTCGTAGTTCTAGATATTATTTTAGCAATTTGATCGCACGAGCAAGTTCGTATGATGTTTTAAGACTTGTGTTTATGTTTGGTTTGGAGCCCCCAGGGCTCGGGTGAGTTTCGGATAGGCTACGAGATGTTTTACACTTGAAAATTCTGGTGTTTTTGGCTTCAGCTGTCATCTGGTATTTCCATCTTCGCGTTCGTGAAGGGACTCTCACGAACGTGATGAGTAAGTTAGTTTGAAGGAGAAATCCTTCTACGCGAACGCGAAGCACTAGTCGCGAACGCAGAGCGTTAAGGGTATTACCCTTCTCGAACGCAACCACGTTATCACGAACGCGAAGCATGGGACCTAGGGGAGGGGAAAGTTACTCATTGCAAACGCGACACTAGGCTCACGAACGCGGAGGCTGGGGGAGTATTCCTTCTTGAACGCGATGGGTATCTCGCGAACATGAAGGCCTTTAGCCCCTGCGCATCGCGAACGCGACACGCTTCTCGTGAACGCGAAAAAGACATGTCCAATGATTTTAAAACAGAACCAAAGTCGGGATTTGTTCAAAATTTCATATCTTCTCCACTAGAACTCGACCTAGGGTGATTTTGAAGAGGGATTTCAACACCAAATCATAAGTTTGTGTTCTTTAACTCATTTTCTTCAATTTCCATCAACATCCATTAGATTTCTAGCCCTAAACCTTGTTCTTTCATGGTAGAATTAGGGATTTTGGGGAAAATTAGGAATTTTGCAAATTTGGGAATTTAGACCTCGATTTGGCGTCGGATTCTGAAACTAATTACATATTTGGGCTCGTGGTGAATGGGTGGGTTTTGGTCCGAACCTCGAGATTTGACCAAGCAGGCCCGAGGCCGGTTTTGACTTTTTGGGAAGAATGTTGGGAAACTTATAATTATGCATTAGAATTGATTTCTTTAGCGATGATTGATGTTATAAAGTTAATTATGAATAGATACGAGTGAATTGGAAGTGGAAGCTAGAGAAAAAAACGGTATTTGAGCTTTTAGTTGGCTGTTGGATTGAGGTAAGTGTTGTGTCTAACTTTGACTTGATGGATTAGGGATCCCCGGATTATTTTCTATGTGAAAATCCATGTGTGATGTGTATAGTGAGGTGACGAGTACCTATGCGCCGCCAAATTATCTGTTTAGCATGTTCACTTTCAAGTTCCCAATATATTATTTTCTTGTCTTAACTGCTACATGCCTATTTGTGCTTCCATGTTAAATAGCTTCTTGTTAGATGTTGTTTCCGCTATTGAAGGTATTAATTGTTCCATAGTTCACTGTATTACATTATTGGTTTAAGTTGGTTATCGGTACTTCATGGTATGTTTTGGTTGGTCTCGCTGTGTAGCTTTAATTGATGAAGTTTCATAATTGTATAGATTTCTATTTGTTTTCATTTGAAGCACAAATATTGTGGAGGGTTTTGAGCTAAATTGTGAAATACTTGTTCTTATTGTGTGATTGGTAATAATATTGTGGGATCCGGTTGCACGCCGCGACAGGAAGAATAAGGGTGAAATGTGATTGTCTGGTGGGATCGGGTTGCGCGCCATAATAGAAGTAATAAGGGTAGACTGGTGGGATTGGGTTACACACTGCAATAGGAGGAATAAGGGTGATATATTGAGGAGCAATAAGGGTGGACTGATGGGATCGGATTGCATGCTGCAATAGGAGCAATAAGGGTGAATGTTCATATTGTACTGATTATATGGCGGGATCGGAATACGCGTCGCATCATTTTGTTGTTTATATATTCATCTTCTACTGTTATTTTATTCTGTAACATCGTAACTCTCTTAAGGATTAGTTATAGCTGCGTATTGGCAAGATAATTGGGTCCCGTAATTATTTACTGCAAGTTATTGTTCCATTTCGTTTCGTACTTCCTTTTGCTTTATTATACATTGTATATAGGTTATATTGTAAATGCCCCATCGTAGCCTCGTCACTACCTCGTCGAGGTTAGGCTCGGCACTTACCAGTAGATGGGGTCGGTTATATTGATACTGCACTCTGCACTTTCTGTGCAGATTTTGGAGCTGGTTGCGGCATATCGAGAGGTCGGTTGTAGGCATTCATCAAGGAGGCCCAAGGTAGTCCTGCAGGCATTCGCATGTCTTGGCGTTCCCTCCTATTTTCTACATTCTTGTTTTATTTTCTTTTGAGACAAATGCACTTTTCATTCGACCAATACTTGTAGATATTCATAGAAAATTCGTGGGTTGTGACACTAGTTTCTAGGTGATAACAAGTTTCAGTATTTTAATAGTATATAGATTACCGGTTTATTATGTACTTCCGCATTATCCCAATTTGACTTAGTTTTGTTAATTTTAAATATAAAATGTAAAGGAAAAGGCGAATAGAAATCTAACGTTGGTTTTCCTAGAGAGTGCGATGGTAGGCGCTATTACGGTCCCGACGGTGGGAAATTTGGGTCATGACTAGTTGGTATCAGAGAACTAGGTTGCCTACGTCTCACAATTCACGAACGAGCTTAGTAGAGTGAGGGATTGGTACGGAGACGTCTGTGTTTATCCCTTAGAGGCTACATAGTTAGAAACAATTTCACTTATATTCTTCAATGTCGTGCAATTTGATCTTTCAATGCTAATCAAACTCTCTACTTTGTTCCTTCGCATATGGCGAGAACATGTATCGCATCATCAGTTGATCATCATCCTGAGCCCCTAGTGGAAGCTCCTATGAGGGGAAGAGGACGAGGACAAGGCCGAGGCAGTGCTAGAGGCCAAGATAGGGGCAAGGCTCAGCCCAGAGCTCCAGCAGAAGCAACAGCGGCGGAGCCTCAAGTAGAGTTTGATGAGGAGGCTCCGGCTCAGACCGCTCAAGCGAGGCCAGCGCAGGTTCCATGGGGTTCATCGCTACCCCGGTATTTCAGGATGCTTTGGTCCGTCTAGTGGGCCTTACGGGAATGTTACTCAGGCCGGTACATTCCCTGTAGCACCAGCCATCTCTCGGGCTGGGGGAGGAGCACAGACTCCCGCTACTCACACCCCAGAGCAGATGGCTCCCCAGTTTCAGACTCTAGCAGCTCAGCCAGTTGCGGTAGTTCCGCTGGGTGTTGCAGCACAGACCGGCAATGGATCAACTATGTCCTCTGAGGCCTTGTGGAGATTGGATAGGTTTACCAAGCTTTTCACCACTACCTATGGCGGTACTTCTTCAGAGGATCCACAGGACTATCTGGACAGTTGTCACGAGGTATTACAGAACATGGGGATAGTGGAGACCAATGGGGTCGACTTTTCTACCTTTCGTCTGTGAGGTTCCGCCAAGAAATGGTGGAAGGATTATTGTTTGGCCATACTAGCTGGGTCACCGCTCTCATTTAGGACCAGTTCTCTCAGCTATTTTTGGAGAAGTATCTTCCTATCACTCAGAGAGAGGACTATCGGAGGCAGTTCGAGCGCCTTTAGTTTGGTTCTATGACCGTCACTCAGTACAAGACTAGATTTATTGATTTGGCCCATCATGATCTTCTTATACTTCCTATTGAGAGAGAGAAAGAGAGAGAGAGAGAGAGAGAGAGAGAGAGAGAGAGAGAGAGAGAGAGAGAGAAAGAGAGATACAGCCAACGTGGCCATACGCGTTGAGATGGTGTTAGCTTAGGGGAGTGGTCAGGGGTCTGCCAAGAGGCCTCGCCACTCCGGTGGATTCAGTGGGGCCTCATCTGGAGGTCGAGGTACTTTCGGTAGGGGCCATCCTCCCAGGCCGTTTCATTCAGCACTTCAGGCATTCCATGG